ATAATCTGATTCTACCTGGCTAGCAAAACCTTATCTCTTCCTGCTCTCAATTCCCATTCCAACCAAAACTATAATATTTTATGGTTCTTTTGTTCCTAAACACCATTCTCAATTTTAGGCTTTTGCTCGTGCTATTCCAGGCTAAAACCATTTTTTCCCTTCTTTTTTACCAATCCAAACACTTCCCATCTTCTAAAGCTTTAAGTTCTACTCCATCAAGAAACCCCATTTTTCCAGTCTACAAGGATCTGCTTACTGAATTTCTTTATTATTATCTATGCAATCAAATACATACTGACTTGTAACATTATCCAATTGTTCCTGTTAAACATTCTTAGCTTCCCAACAAGACTAGATCCTTCAAAAGATTAGAGGTTTTTTTCTCCATATTTCTACTGGTTGGCTTCACAAATATCTCCAACTCATTTTGTTCAAAACAGATTGTCAGGGCACCTGGGTGGCTCAATTGGTTAAGTGTCGGACTCTTGACTTCCGCTCAGGTCATGATCTCACAGTTCATGAGATCAAACACCGAGTCAGGTTCCTCACTGATGGCACGAAACCTGCTTGGGATTCTCTCTCCCTCTCCCTCTGCCCCTCCCCTGCTCTCTCTCTCTCGCTCTCAAAATCGATGCTGTTAAAAAAAACAAAAACAGGTTAATTATCCTCCTTCAGATTTGTCCCCCCTCACAGGATTCTTCATTTATTAAATGGCACCACCAAAATGAAATCCAGGCAGCAGTCTTGATCCCCACCCTCTCCCATTCAATCAGTCTCCATGTCTCATTGGTTCTACCTCCAAAACATCTCTTGAATGTATCAATCTCTTTCCTACTCCACTACTACCACTTTGGTCTAGGTTACTTTCATCCTAAGCCTACTTTTTAAGTTTTTATTTATTTTGAGAGAGAGAGAGAGAGAGAGAATCCCAAGCAGGCTCTGTGCTATCAGCGCAAAGCCCCACGTAGGGCTCCATCTCACAAACCATGCGATCACGACATGAGGTGAAATCAAGAGTCAGACGCTTAACCGACTGAGCCACCCAGGCGCCCCTAAGATATTTTATTCTTGCCTCCTTCTTCCATTACATTTCACATATAGTAGCCAAGAGATCTAACATCTACATCAAGTCAACCCTCTTCTGAAAATCCTTCAATGACTCCCCACACACTTAGAATGAAAACCAAACTCCTTATAATGGTTTTCCATTAATATGCAACTCCAGTCACATTGGCCTTCTTTCAGTTATTTCAGTGCCAAGTGCTGCTATGTCTTAGGGACTTTGCACATACTGTTTTCTCCTTCTGTTATGCTCTTCAAATTACTGTTTCCTTCTCAACCTTCAGATCCCAGCTTCAATGTTATTTGCTCAAAAAGGACCTTCCTGACACCATTTTTAGAGAAGATTTTAGGATGTCTTTCATACCCTTCTGTGCTTGGTACATAGCAGGTACATAACATTCTTTCCAATTTGATTTTTTCGTTGAGGAGGCTTAACTTTTTGCTATTTTCTAGTACCTCTTTTGGTGGTTCAATTGCAAACCTGACACCTGGGCGTAGGTCAAGTCCCTCATTAGGTCTCTCTCCTCACACCCTATTTATAGTGCCCTTATCAGTTTGTAATTACAAATTTGTGATTATTTGCCTAATGCTTTCTCTATATAAACAGCATAAACACAAAAAGGGCTATATCAGAACACTAGTCCATAAAGAAATGAAATTATTATATATGTTTGCAATGACCTCCTCCTCCACCCACATTCCCCAAAGCTTATTCTCCCAGTTCAGGTACGATGTAGCACTGCCTTCAAGATACTATACTGTATATAAATATAAAGTATTTTCCCATTTGCCAAAAGAAAACTTCATAAATGTGTTTCAGCTGGCTTAAGTATATGTTTTTTGAATGAAGATCAAATAGTCAAATGCCTATTGCTTTATCAATTTAGTTACACATACATATTTCTCAAATGACAAAATTTATTTAGGAATTTCATCTTTTTCTATTCTCATTGAACAGAACAATTTTATGGAAACTGTTCACATCTATCTTTGATATCAACAAAGCCATTTTTTTCATCTAACACAACCTTCCTGAATATACATTTAATTCTTATTTGAAATATGGTACCCTTTGAATCCATGCTAGATGCTATCCCAGTATATCTTATTCCAAGCCCAAAGTATTCCTTCACTATCTGAATGATCTCTAAAACAATATCATATGTATAGTATCCACTTAGTACACTGCTTATTAAGGCGATTTTTACAAAGCTTGTTTACAACTTCACACTTCCATGAAGTTCTACCCCCAGGAAAAACTGATAAATCCACTAAAATGTCTTTGCTTTTTTTTAAATCCATTTCATCAGGTGAATTTTATAAATATCCAAATTGACACTGATTGAAATCATTTAGGCTGTGTGTCTTCCCCCAAACAATTAAAAATAAAATAATTGACAGAATTTCTGCCTCATAACAGGAGAGTCTTTTGTAAAGACTCAAATATAAAGTTTTTCTATGAGAGACAATTTGGAGGAGGAGCTAATATTTAGGCTGATGCAACTTATCAGACTGGCTATTCCGTGTCAAAAGTTCAAAGAAAAAAAAAGCAAACAGTTGTTCATCTTTCCTCTCAACTTTTTCCGAAGCCTGGTAATATCATGATGCCCCAAACAACTCCCCAACTTACTCGTTCCTTTACAAGTACATGCAATTACTTATCATAGTTAAAAAAAACAATAGTGGGGCGCCTGGGTGGCGCAGTCGGTTAAGCGTCCGACTTCAGCCAGGTCACGATCTCGCGGTCCGTGAGTTCGAGCCCCGCGTCGGGCTCTGGGCTGATGGCTCAGAGCCTGGAGCCTGTTTCCGATTCTGTGTCTTCCTCTCTCTCTGCCCCTCCCCCGTTCATGCTCTGTCTCTCTCTGTCCCAAAAATAAATAAACGTTGAAAAAAAAAAAAATTAAAAAAAAAAAAAAACAACAAAAAAACAATAGTATCTATCTGTCCTATTTTCTCCTTAGTGATTCTTTCCCATGTTCAGCCCTATCCCTAATCAGTTGATCATCATCATCATCGTAGCTAAAGTTACTTGTTTCTCCCACTGCCAGACCCCTTACTGAAGGGCTTCTTCTACTATAAATTACAACCAAAATTCTCACCTAGCCCCATCCTAAAACTTCTTACCACAGTCCCTAAATCTAATGGACAAAGGTAGGATGGGGGAAGAAAAATGGGACAAATTTGACTTTTAAGGCTCAAAAAGACCTAAGAGCATTACCACTAAGTACTGTAAGGAAAAAGAGGAAACTTGATGGGTACCATCTAGGAATGGGCTACATAGTCTTTTCTTCTCCATGTTTTTATACAAGTTGAGATTGTTATTAAATAGTGGCTATAGGCTAGCATTGAGAGAGTTTATCAATTGAGAAAATTGGGGGTCCAGAGGAGGCAAATGTATCATTAATGAAGACAAAATTACATACAAAACATGAAACAGAAATTAAACAACTTGAGTGATATACTTGTTCATTTAAGGTACAGATAACTTTTGGGGCACCTGGGTGCCTCTTGCTGTCAGGGTCATCCTCCATGATAGGCGTGGAGGCTACTTAATAACAACAACAACAAAAGATACAGATAACTTCTAATTTAATGTTAGGCCTAAAAAAAAAACAAAAAAACAAAAAAACTTAAAGAGGAATTTGTTTGAAAAGAAATAGCTTTGGAAGCATGGATACAATTACAAACAGGTAAACTTCCTAAGACAGAATTCCACATTCTATTGGTTCAAATACTAATAGTTGCTATATGTAAAAGAAGCAAACTGGGAGATACTTGTATTTCATTCCGGGAAGAAAAATTAAAGGAAATATGGAAGCAGTGATGTATTAAAATATTTATTATTTGGTCACAGGCCTATTAAGGGTAATGTGAAGTAATTTCTAAAATTGATTTGCTTTGTAACTTCAAAAAAAAAAAAGTCCATAACTCAATGACAGCACTTGATAGAGGTCAACTCTTCTATTCAAGTCAAAGATCCTATGGTGAGCTGAGAGTCTCCCAGACCTGGTCCATCAGTAAGGGACAAAAGATTCAGTTTCTTGAGATGGCAGGGGGAAAATGACTGGCACTGCATCACACTTCAAATCCAATAGGGTTTCTCCCGTGCTAACAGAGCACTGTGCGTCAAAGCATACCTTGGTGTCGTAAGGACAGCGAAATGGATGTAAAAACCCTTATTTGTCTTTCATTTCCTGAACGCATTATCAACATGCACAAAACACTCCTGATCCCCATCACACCGGTCACGGGGAAAAAAAAAAAAAAAAAAACACCCAGATTTGCCGTTTCCACCCCTTCCCCTCGTATAGGTGCTTGCCCCTCAGCGCTGGGCCTCGGGAGTTCTCTTCCCAGATCATTGTCCAGTGGGAAATTCACTGAGCGAGGAAAGCAACGTGGGCTATAGGACGTCTGTTACCAAAACAGAAATTAGTATTAAAAATACCGATCTTATCGGCCCTCCGCCCTCTCACATAAAACAAAAACAAAACCGAACACCACCACCCCCACCACCCCCACCCCGCCAACTTGCCCCACCATTACGAAGATCATACAAGCTCTGATCAAACGTGATTCCCAATCATCCCGGGGCAAGGGAGCACCTGGGGCGAGTTTTCGGCCCCTGGTCTCTCACCCCGGCCGGGGGGGCCAGGCCCCTGGACTGACAGGAGGGGCTGGCCCGACCGTGGCCCGGCGGTGGACAGAGGCATTATCGCCGAACCCCGCTCGCACCCGGGGTGGAAGCAAGGCAGGACCAGAAGCAACGCGGGTAAGGTTGCGGGCGAGGCCTCCGAGCCGACGCGGAGACAGGCAGGACCCGGCAGCAGGGGAGGCGGGAGAAGCTGCCGGGCCTAGGCCGCACCAGGCCGCGGAGTGGCCGTACGCGGCTTCCCGGCCGAGGCTTCGAGCCAAGCCTCGGCGAGCGGGGTTATCATTACCTGGACGGGTTCCTGCAGCACCGTCATCCTTGAGGCTCAGGCCCACTTTCTGCAGTGCCTCAGGCCCCCCCCGTAGCGGCTCCGGCCCGGCCAGCCCCGGCTCATTTAAACTCACCAGCGACCGTTACCGGGGGATGGGGGAGGCCGAGCGATTGCCGAGTACCTCCGAGTGGGACACGGAAATACCCGAAGTGGTGAGATCCGCGCGGGAGCCAGACGGAAAAGCCCGAAGGGGACCGGAAATGCCCGAGGCCGATCGGCTGAGGAGGAGACCGTTGCCGGAAATTGTCGAGGATTCCCGGGGACTACCGAGTCCGATCCAGAGCGGAGTTTTCCCCTCTCGGCCACGCCTTCACTCTCGCACGCCACGCCCAATCGGCCACCCCAAGCTGAGCCACGCCCAATCGGCGACCAGCGGGTTGGGCGTGGCTTACCGGAGCGGGCGGGGAGCGTTACGTGGCCGGACTACCGCCTCCCCTCGCCACTGAACCTCTCCGGATCAATTGAGGCGCGGTAGTTTGAGGAGAGGGTAAAACACGAGAGTTTGGGGCTGACTTTAATTAATCAAGAAGTATTTGTTGAGTTTAGTTCATTCATCATTCCAGAAGTACCTATTCAGGGCTCAAGGAAAATAGGAAATTTGGAAGGATTGCCAGGCTTCAAAGACTGGTAAGGACATGGGCTGTCCACCTTGAAGAGATTACGGTCTCTTTAAGGGAAAGACAGTGTAACAGACTGCTACGTTATGTGGTGCCCATTGTAAGCGACGTAAAAATTCAGAAGAGAGGGAAATAAATTGGGATTAAGATGAGAAAAGTTTCAGGGAAGGAAAAAGGGAGACTTAAACTGGACTCTGAAGGATAAGTGGAATTAGAAGAAGAGTGTCAAGTGAAGGGAAGCAGAAATGAGATCAGTCTGGTAAGAGTTAAGGCATTAACTGGAAATAGTTACATAGATGACCAGATCATGGAAATTGTTATTCCTGATAGGAGAGGCATTAGGCGTATTGGGAAATCTAGAGGCTGGATTTTGAATGTCATCTCTGGCACCAACTAGTTTTAGGTCCTTAGGCAAGTCACATTTCTGATTTGTATTTCCTTAGTCTGAAAATAATGATTAAAAGAATTAAATGGATTGATGTATGTGGTTGTGTCTGACGCACACAGTAGGCTCTCTCAAGTTTCCTTCCTGCTCCCTCTCCCCCCAAAACGTGTGAACCAGGGAACTATTAACATTTTGTTTTTTGATAGATGATGAAAGCAGTTTTTGAAAGTTGATTGTCTAATCTGGACATCTCTATGCTAGATGTGGAACTCATGGTATAGTCTATGATGTGGGAATTTCCCTTTCTGGTTCTCAGAAACCAGATGAAACAGGTTAGAATGGATTCCTTCCTTCCTTCGGGTGATGTTGAAGGGAGGGTTTTTTTGTTTTTCAATACTAGTTAACAGAGCTATATCTGTCACCACCAACCATCTCTAGTAACTGCTTATTTGTAGCACCATAAAGGGTAAGTGCCAAGGAGATCTTCTGCCCTGTGCCCTGTTTTTGTTTTTTTTTTGTTTGTTTTTAGCAGGATTATGAGTCGTCTACACTGTCCAACTGTGTAGTCACTAGCTATTTAAAGCTTAGTTAAAATCAAGTGAATTAAAAATGAGAATTTTCAGACACCCTAGTCACATTCCAAGAATTCAATAGACATACGTGGCTAGTGGCTCCCATACTGGGTAGCACAGATATAGAATATTACTGTCAGTGGCTTGACTGGGGCTGGAGATCCAAAATGGCCTCACTCACGTTTGGGGCCTTGGTGCTTGCTGTTGCCTGTGCCCCTCAGTTCTCCACATCTCCACATGACTTGTGTCTCAGCGTTGGCCTCTCATCAGTCGGTAGGCTAGCCCCATTCTTGACTTTGTGGCTGGCAACCAAGAAGGTAAAAACTGAAACCAGGAGGCCCCTTAAGGTCTAGGTCTGTAAATCAAACCCCATCACTTCTCATTGATTAAAGCAAGATAAAGGGCTTGCTTGGATTCAAGGGGAGGAGAATTGATTAAAGCAAGATACAGGGCTCGCCTGGATTCAAGGGAAGGAGAAATAGACTCTAGATGGGAGAAGTTGGCAACATGACACTACAAAAGGCTTGTGCCACCAGAGGGATTGATTGCCGGACCATCTTTGGAAACAGTCTACCAGATGTGAGATGAGAGAATCTGTAATGGTGATGGAAAGGAGATGGGCGAGAGATATCACTCTTAAAATGTGATGCTTTTAGCTGGTCATAACACTCCACCTTTATTCTGATTAATGCAGAGAGCGCTAAGACTATTGCTTTTATTATCGGGATGACTTCTAGTAAAGTAGACTAAAGTTGTTATTTGCATTTTTAATTGGCACATGACATTATTTGCCCATGCTAAGCTTGTGGTCGTTTTACACACACAGCTCTTCTACATACAACATGCAGCCAGTAGATCTTTGTGCAATAGATTCTTGTAAACTTGAACGTAGGAACTTGCAACACAGGATACATAATGATGATATTTGGTGTGTGAAAATGTGTATCTAGAGTCAGAAGAGTCTCTGATGCTTGGTGTTCTGGCTCTTAAACTTACAATTTGCTTCTAAAATCCCCTGGGATTTTTTTTTTTTTCCTCCCTAAAAAAAGGCATCTCTTTTCTAACTGTTCTTCACTGGGCTAATACATCTGTTGTGGTTTTCTGCTCATCCACAGCAAGGCCACATTGTTTGAAGTTGTGCTTTGATGGGATCTTTTAAAGCATTTTTACTTCCTTCTGTGTTCCTGATTGACCTACTTTAACTTGCCATCCAGCAACCACTTAGGCATCCTGCTGTCATCCATTATCCACATAATGTTTAGCTGGTGAACGGAGCTGGGTTACAATAAGCATTATTCCAAACATGGTAAATTATCTCTTCTCCTTAGCCTGCCTCTTTGTCTGTTTCATGTTCACTCAGATTCAGAGGCCGGCTTTTAGGGAACCGTTCAAGAAGCTAGACTTGGTTTTCTTGCCAAGATGCAGGTCCCACGAAATACATAGCCCCCAACAAGATTGCTCTTCTGAATTCCTTCAGTGACCCTTGTCTGTACCTCCTGTTGTCCCTGTTCATGCTGCTGTCGTATCATCTTATATTACCTGACCTTGAGGCATTTACTCCTGTGTTGGCTCCTCCCTCTTGGTTAAATCATCCCTTTCCTTTGGCATCTCTGATCACACAGTCTCCTGGTTTTCCTCCTACTGCTCTGTTTTTATTAGTTTCCTTTGTAGCCCCTCTAATGTTAGAATGGTTCAGGGGCCTGTTCTAGGCCTTCTTCTCACCCCTATGCTTTTTTCCTTTCCAAACCCATCCGTTCTCTTGGCCTCCGCTCTCATAAAATTGTTCCAAAATCCGTACCTCTAGTCAGACTGCTTCTTAGAACTCCAGACCTGAGTGCCTAGCTGTCAGCTGGACATCTCACAGGTTCTTGTTGAGAATAGAATTCCTTGTTCCTCATACTTGAAGTACTTCCCATCTCAGTTTAAGGTATCACCATCCTCTCCATTACCCAAACCTGAAACCATGCTCTCTCTTTGACCCTACCATCTAGTCACAAAAGCCCTACTAATTTTACCCTGAATATACCTTCTCATCTCTTCCTGTCTCCAGCCTTACCTACCCTCAAAAACAAGTCTGATCATGTCAGGACTCCCTCCTAATCCTCCCCTCCCAACTCAGGATTTCCCATTGCTCTCAGGAGATCACTCAAACCTGTTAACTTCTCTTCTAAGGTCCTCCACGGTCTAGTCTCTGCCACTTTTTTCAGCCTTGCCTCACTTCCCTGTTATACTCTATATTCCCCAAAGGGGACCAGAATATGTCACTTTGGCATAAGGATTATTTTGACCTGAAAAAAACTAGGAAGCAACAAACACAGAAAGTACTCTTTGCTTTCCCCCATTTGCCTAAAATCAGGACATCAATTTCCCTTTGTGAAGTTGTTTCCTCTTCCCCCCTCTCCTGTACCAGGAGGAGGAAAACAACCATTATCACTAGAGACAAGGAGCTGGCACTGATTCTGCACAAACAAACTTTACTGAAATAACCCTTATCTTCCATTAGTTCCCCCATATATTTACCTTTACACAGCTTACCACCCCGCAAGCCCAAACTTTTCTCCTTTGTTTTGTCACTTCTCCACAAATTTATTGCTGTTTGCTAAGATGTTATGTAAGCCTCAAGTTCTGTTCTAACCACCTCTTGTTTTTAAACTCTTATTTTTAAAATTCTGTTAATCTGTCTTTTGTCAGTTTAATTTACAGGGTCCATGATACAAACCTAAGAGGGTAGAGGGACGGTCACATGAAGCACATAGCAAGAAAGTAGCCATCTACAAGCCCAGAAGAGAGCTCTCATCAGAAACCAAATTTGCTAGCACCTTGATCATGGACTTCTAGCCTCCAGAACTGTGAGAAAATACATTTCAGTTGCTTACTCCACCCAGTCTGTGGTATTGGTTATAGCATCCTGAGCAGACTAATATGATCAAGATTATTTATGTCATATCTCCCGAAGGGAAGGCTAAGCCTTACATGTCTCTTTATTGTTTTAGGAAAAGAATTACATATTTGGTAGATGCTTAAAAAATATTGACTGATTAAAGTGGAACCCTTTACACATATTACTTCTTCTTCCTAAATCACTTTGCCCTTATTCTTTTTTTTAACAAGGAGAAGCTATTTAGTTAGTTATAATTTGTTTTAAGTTTATTTATTTTGAGAGAGAGAGAGAGGGAGAGAGAGAGTACGTGAGCAGGGGAGGGGCAGAGAGAGAGGGAGAGAATCCCAAGCAGGCTCTGCAGTGCCAGCGAGGAGCCCGATGCAGAGCTTGATCTCGAGAACTGTGAAATCCTGATCTAAGTCAAAATCAAAAGTCAAACGCTTAACCGACTAAGCCACCCAGACACCCTTGCCCTTACTCTTTAGCTAAATTCAACTCATCCTTCAGTCCTCAGGCCTTGATATTACATCCTTAGAATATTCCCTGTCCTACCTAACCAAAATTATTAACTCTACCCTGCAAT